AATCTCAACGTGATAGAAGCGATCCTGCCTACGCTTCATTTGTGCGAAATGTGGGAGAGGACACTGTGCCTCCAGAAACCATGATGACGTGACCGGTGTGCCTCACCATGAGCTCAAACTGAAATCCAACGGCCTGGCCATGATTGTAAGGAATGTAAACTTCTCCGAAGGGTTGGTAAACGGCCAAAAGTGCATTTTGAAATCGCTTAACCCCAACAGCCGTGTAATTCATGCTGAACTTCTCACAGACGAACTACCTCATCCTGTCGTGCTAATCCCAAGGATAAGTTTCTCTGCCCAAGTTGGAAGGAATGGCATTAACTTCATGCGCGTGCAGTTTCCTCTACGTACTGCTTATGCCATGACCATAAACAAGAGTCAGGGCCAAACTCTTACCAGGATAGGGTTGGATCTTCGTTCGTCTCCCTTTGCACATGGCCAACTGTACGTTGCTCTCACCCGTGCTCAAAAACGATCAACTGTAATGCTGCTTTTGCCACACACACAGGTTGTCGATGGAACTCCTTACACTGAAAATATTGTCTACAAGCCATTCACAGACGCCGCAACTGGCGAGACGCACAGAGTGGCTCTTCCGCGACTCTCCCCTCCCTGCCTTATCTTCCTCCTACTCCTCCCCCGCCGCCTCCCCCTCCTCCTCATTGGCTCATTCAGCCGGAGTTGGGGGATGGCAACTGCGGCTTTAGGACCATTGCCCGCCGGGTGTTCGGTGACCCTGACCTACACCACCAAGTTCGAACTCAAATTGTGCAATACATTTCCAACAACAAACATAATCCGGACCTGCACATTTACGATGGTGTTGGGACTGAACTTCTACACAGATTAGGCTATCCGCCTTCTGCCTATCATTCTTACGAAGAGTACGTCGCAATAATGTCCATGCCTCGCACGTACATGGGTCAACCCGAGATTACTGCTGCAAACGCTCTCTATGACATCTCCATTCAGGTTCATTTCGATCAATCCTCTGTACCGCTTCCTCAAAACACCCTACCGAACCATCTCCATGTCCGGTTGAATCCCGTCAGTCTTCACTATGACACCATCTTACTTTCGCAACCTCCCCCCTTACCTCCGTAATTGCCAGCGTCCTTCATTCTACTGCGCAGGTCAACCCACCTTCATGCCTGGCGTTACCCTGCGACTCATCCCTGCACCTCCGGGAACATTGGCTTCTTCGTGCCAACAACACGCACTTCTCGTGCCTGTTGCCGGACTACTCGCTGTATCGTGTGCATTGTCTACAGTAGAATTACCATCGTTTGCGTTGGGAACACTCTGCTGTGGCAGCAAATGTCTGGGTTGTGGGGAGCCCTTCGTTCATTTTGCGGAACGGGCTTTTTCGCTTCTTTCGAGGGGCTGCGAGTGATGGTTTGGGCATCGCCGCGCCCCTTGCCGCTTGGGCCTTCCGCATAGTCGCGTCTACAGTAGAATTATCGTCATTTGCGTTGGGAATTTCAACGACTTTTGCCGTTTTACGAATTGCCTTTCGTCTACCTCTGCCACTCTGCTGTATTGCAAATAGCTGGGTTGTGGGAAGTCGTTCGTTCATTTTGCGGCACGGTCTTTTTCGCGTCTTTCGAGGGGCTGCGGGTTTCACACATGTGTATTCGAGCTTCCACGTCGTCGCGCAATCTTCGATCGATTATCTCGCTTTTTTTCGGTTTGTTTTTATACGTTTTCTTCCAAAAAAAAGAAAAAACGGAGTTGCGCGCTTTTTTCCTGTTTGTTTTTACCCCACGTGGGTTTTCACGGTGTCTTTATGTTTTCCACTTCGTGTGTCTCTCGGGTTTGTGCTTCAAGTTTCTGTCACATGCTGAATGCAACACACAATAAATGTTCCTGCCGCCTGCATTTCATCACATTGCGCAAGGCTCTCCATCCACACTTTCAGCCTGCATACGGCTTCGTCTGCTCTGCGAGTTCTATCGCTCGCCAGATCCTAAACCCTACGCCATATTCACCCATCCCTCTTACTCTCTTCCAACCCCACTTGGTATCAACACATCCCCTTCTAAACACGCATTTTTCGGCGTGCGGCCTACCCAAGGGGGCCTCTTTTTCATATCAAGAAAAGCGCGTAGGGGGGGCATGGCCCCCCGGAGCGCTTGTCGCTTTAAAACCATTTCGTGAACTTGGCTGGCCCAGCTTTGTAACTTCATTTTTTTTTTTTTTGTGCATAGCTCGGTTTTATCGCCCTACGAGACCTGCTGTTTTGCATTGTCGGTGTTAATGAGCACGAACATAGATGAGAGGCCACGTTCTTCGTTGGGTAAGTGTTTGCACACCTCGCCATCAAGTCTCCGTCCCCTTTCAAAACCCAACCCGCACACACTTGCCATCGCCATGCAACCTACGAGCGCAGCGGCGACCGCCGTTAGCGGTCGCCCGCGAAGCGCCTTTGTACATGTATAAACATACCTGCAGCACGGCTGTTCTCTCGGCAAGTCCACGTAGCCTCTTCCTCGCGTCAAATGCCCAGATGAAGAAATCTCCCGCAGCACGAGCGCAGCGATAGCCAAAGAAGCCGCAATACATGCTTGGCGTAAGGTTTCTTCAAAGAAAAGCATGTGTGCTTGCCGCACCTTCTTGGCACACGCGCATAAGCTACAAAAGCGCAGATCGAGATTGCGGAGTAGGGTCCTTTCCAAAATTCCGACTACTTGCACGTTTACTTCTCGAATGCACTATGTGGGCTGTGGGTGCGCCATGGACGGCTCGTGGATCTGCTGTGCGTCGGTGCGTCGGCGTTTCGGCAGGCAAACCTGGGGTTTTCCATGTCGTTTGCATTATGGGGCGGAGCTGCGGGGTTTTCCAAGCTGTGTGCAGTCTCTCTGTGCGTGTTTTTTTTATACTAATAAAGTGCACTCGTGCCGCTGTTACGACCGCGCTGACAACCAACCGAGTTGAAGGGCTTGGCCTGCTCTCACTCTGTGGGTGCTCGAAAAACCGAGAAGAAAGAAGCCATATCCATCTGCGCTGAGTCGAACACTAAACCTGCAGGTGGGCCGAGGCTGCCATCAACAGGTGCAGTCGACTTTTGGGGCCACGTTTGGCCCCTTTGGTCCATCTTATTCACACATGTTTTAGATCGCGAAGAATGGCATGGCAGTCTCTACCTTCCTTTCAATTCCTCGGCAAGGGGGTGCCGGGGTACTCGGGGAGAACCAAAAGTCTATGCGTAAATGCGTAATGCACAATGGCACTAATGGCTAATGGCAGGTAGAATTGCGGGAGAAGTTGCGCCGCGTCTACATTTGTATGAAACAGAGCGTAAAGCCGACCAGGGGCGGGCGCGGAAGCACCGTGCAATCTAGAGCTTGGTTCAGAAGGTCTTCCTTTCCCTCTCGTATTAAAAACCTCTCATGTTCATGCCCCGGTCCACGACGCACGAGGTTCCAGGTACGCTGTACAGGAGTCGGCCCTTTTGTCATTTTTTCACTTCAGAGCTCATTGGCATCCTCGGGTAGTAGCGGAGAATGGTTGAACTACTACTGTTTAGTAGTGGAAGTCGTAGTGGCGTTCCGCCGATTTCCGTAATAGTGCTTGCGGATATCACAGTCGTTGATGTGCATGGTGCGGGTATAACAAGTGTCGGTGTTGGTGGCAACTTGAATACATGGTGGAACTGCCGGTATGGTGGCATCAAATTCTCTTGTCTCTATCTCAAAATGTTCATGAACCCGATGTATCGAATAGTGGCACTGCGCTGAAAAGTGGCATAATCTCCTCTTGCCCCTACATGCCACGATAATAGGGCCACCTACGCTGTACGACACAACCAATCTCTACCCATAGAAGTGAGTGTAAGATAGAGTTGCACTGTATTCATGGCGTCGGCGAAGACTACGTGTGTTTCCACGATTTCCCGAGCGGCGCACAGCGACTTCTCCAGTGCGGGTAGTAGGCTCAACACGACTGTTGACCATCATGTGTACTCCTATCTGGGTGCATATTCTGCTGGGAAGGTGTAGAGGAATATGTTAGGAAGTGTTGGCGGCGGGTGTTCGGTATGTTGCACCCTTGAAAAAACACACAGCAAGTTGATGTGTGGCACATGCGTACCGTAAATGACACAAGACAACACTCCTACATTAGATACCACACCCCCCACAGAATGCGACACCCCGGTGGTACTTTTTGGCGTTTCTGACAAACCGATTTATCACCCGGGATACACAAGATATCACACCCCGGTGATAAATGAAGGTCACGCCGCATACATTCACAGGGCCCCTCCTTTTATCACCAGGGTGATGGCATCTGCTCCTGGGCATCACGCACAATACACATCCTCCGTGTGCTGGAAACGCCCCGCCTGGAGACCTTCAACAGCATGAACGTGCAGGCAGAAAAGCAGACTGCCACGCTGCAAGTACCTCCGCTTCTTCCACAACTGCTTCGACCGAAGCACAGGAGCAACAGATCGTCTCGTTCTTTCAACCCGAGCAAGCTTCTTCTACGCACGCGGCTCCTGCTACGGCTCCTCCTCCTGCTGCTGTTGATCTAACAGCAGCAGCAGCTGGCACAGCAGCAGGCGCCAACATGACAGCCACCACCTCGCCTCACCAGCAGCCGATCGCTCTCAGCAGCACGTGGGAGTACCGCAGACGAGTCAACAAGCACCACCAAAGCCTCTCAGCTGGTGTTGTTGGACACCCCCTCATTATCACACCCTCACACCCCCCCCTGTGGGTGTTCAGACATGCTACAATGTCACACCCCCTGTGTATCACACCCCTCGTTTATCACACCCCCAAACACACCCTGTGGGTGTTCAGAAGTGCTATCACACACCCCGGTTTATCACACACCCTTAGGGGCCCCTGCGAGTTGCACTTGATCACCTGGGGTACATAAGTTACCACCGGGGTGTGTTATCTTGTGTCATTTACGGTATGCGCACGGTATAACATTTTACTCCCTGCTTCCGCATGGTGATCCTTAGCTGGCGGCGCGTGATTGTGGCGCCGCGGTTTCAGCATGTACGTGGGCTTCCGCCGGCGATTTTTTTTCTTTGCACACAAATTTAGACGGGCTCCAAACTTTCCATTGAAGGAAGCAGAGTCTGAGATCGGAAAAATTTCGTTCCAACCTTCGTGTAGCCAAATATTTGCAGATTTCAGGCAGCCTCAGTGATTGTCTGTGGGGCAACAGGCCTCCTAATCCCACCCGAAGGACTCCCCCTATTGGCAGGTACTGGTGTATTTTTGTGGGGCGCTGCGTGACAGCTGCACCCTGATGACAGCGCTCCCACTGCTGTTGATGGACGTGCATTCATGCGTATGCTTGTCTGTGTCGCTCCGTACGAAATCGCATCAGTACGGAGACAGGGAGTAATCACACTGGCCGGCAGCCTCTGAATGACGTGCTATGTCGCATTTCAACCGTTCTGGAGGGGGGGGGGGGG